ACCTAGGTAATTTCTGCATAGGTTGGATGAGTGTTTGGGGTCGTTATCTTCTTGGTAGTAGAATCCTTTACCAATAATACACAAACCACTGGGTATATCATGATGGATCAATATCTGATGGTACTTGTGCTGGTTCATTATTCCATCTGTTTTGAAAATATCTCTTATCACCTCAGCAGAAAAACACACTCCCAAACCATCACACTTCTTCCCCCATGCTTCATGGTACGGTGCTATGCATTGAGGTAAGTATCTTTCACCTTTATTCTGCTGGACATACAACTTATGCATTGAACCAAATATTTCAAACTTGGACTCATCCTTCCATGACACCTTGTTCCAATCATCAACAGTACAGTTTTTATACTTTTTAGCAAATTTCTGTCTCTTGACAATATTTGGAAATCGATGTAACGGATTTTTAACTGTTACATGACCAAATATTCCATTCTTGTTGAGTCTTCTTGATATTGTAGATCTGGACACTTTTCTGTCATTTGGTACATGGTTATTTATCTCATGCTTGAGATCAGTGGCAGTATTCCTTCTTACCCAAAGGATGCATAAATCAAGATACTTAACATCAGTGTCATTGAGTTTAGGTGTTCTGCCTCTTCCTTTCCTATTTTGATACTTACCTGTCTCAGTCTCACAATTTAGTGTGTACTTGACAGTGTTTGTGGAGTCTTTCAATTCTGCAGCAATTTGTCGGAGAGTCCAACCAGCATCATGTAAAGCTTTTATGTGAACTCTCTGCTCTACTGACAATTCTCTATGCTTTTTGGGCCATGGCATGACAACAAAACTTAATATACAGTGTTAAACACTGTTTTTATCAACATTTATTTGTGGAGTGCTATTATACTTATTTCTTCTGGCATATTGGTACTGTATACTAGCTTCTTTCTATATAGTTAAGACACTGCATAAGGTACCATGACAGTTGTTTCGGACCTTAAGTTTGATCAGTATGTTCATTCAAGCAGAATCTTTATGACATGTTCTTGGTACAAGAATATTGGAATTCTAAAGAATGATAAGTATTCTCACCCTGGCTCATTCAGTTGTAAACAGGGATCAGTGAAGCATTACCATAACATTGAAATTTACATTCTGTAATAGCATGGAAGAATTAGCCCCATAAAATGGAAAGAATGACAAAATATTCTCTTGTCCTAACACTTTTGCACAGTACTGTATGTAAAATCCTTTTACAGCTTCTCCTTTTTTGTTTATCTGAAAATTTTCAAATAACCATTATATTTTTATCCCTTTTATGTTGTAAAAGAAACGATGGCAAAACATTTAATAATTTTTTTTTATCTTGGAGACTTATATGCTATGTATTGTAAAATATGAATGCTTTAGTTCTTGATTTTTTCGTGTACATTTAAATTCATTTTGTGTATCTATCTGGTTGTGTTGATATATGAACTGCCACTATTGGTGGTATATAATATAAACTTCATAATGCTATTGTGCATGTAATTGCTTAAATATTTTTCAAACTTTATATTTCTATGCATAGGGAGTTCCTAAAACTATAACTGACCTTCTTAAAGCTGACATAAAAGTGTGGGTCCTAACTGGCGATAAGCAAGAAACGGCAATTAACATAGGTTGGTATGAAGTTCTGCAGTAAAAGATAGTGTTTTACCTTATTTGTTATTGGCATTTGTTTACATTTGTCTCATAACTGGTGTTTCCAGTTTTTGTTTGCTGTTGGACTCTCTTGTAGTTTTCATAACTTAAAACCATTTGCTTTTTTTAACATTCTGATCTAACATGAAATAGTTTGGGAGTACATATAAGTATTATTGAGAAATTAGAAAGCAAAACAGGTAATTGAATAAACAAATCCTATAATTTATTATTCATCCAATATACCTAAGAAGTTTATGTAAAAATGGACATTTTATTGAGACGATTGTTTTTTCTTTATATTTGTAACTTCTTGAAAATATTAAGAGAGTGTAAGGTTACACTGATCATTACATAAAATGTGTTTTTCTTGAGCAACTTTTTCATTCTGATACACTGACAAAGTAAGTTGTTTTAATAAACCATACCTTGTGGTTATAGTAATATAAAATGTGAATTAAAATGTATTTAATGGATTTCAGCAATTTATACTGGGACATAATAATATTATTATCATATAAAATATTTGAAATTAGCACAAAATTCAAACCTTGATGTTACTTAATGTTAACTTTTGTCTTTTGCAAGGTTTGAAATATACATAAACATAAACTTTATATTTAACTGCTGATGGTATTGAAATATTTATCTAACAAAAAATTGATTACGTTTTTGTTCTTTTAACAGTTTCTTTGTAATATATTAAACTATTAGATTTATCTGAAAATCTAACCACTTTATCTTTTTTTACTTCACTGTTAATTACTTTCATATTTCTCACTAGTTCTTATTCTTCTGTCTTCAGGTTACTCAACCAAGCTTCTTACTCAGAGCATGCCCTTACTTATTATAAATGAAGACAGTTTGGATGTAAGTGTGTGTATCTTCTCATCAATTGTTATATTTTTGTAAATCTCTGTAATACCTACCACAAAGAATAACACCATATTTACAATTTAAGGAAGAGAAGATATTATCTATCCTTGTTTTGTGTTAGGACAGCTTTGGATTAGCTATCATGTGACCTGTGAATCTTTGCTGTGATTTACCATTAGTGATGCTTATGATGGTATATTTACAAGATTGTCTCTAACCATTGTATTCAGATACGCACATATCTCTACTTTTAACAAATTATGATCTTATGTTGTTTTTCTATTGGATAGCCATCTAGTATGAAATTTAACACTGAACAAAAATTATACAAAATCATTTTCCAAACCTGGCTGGCCACAAGCTTGCAAAAGGTATGGGACTTGAAAAATGTGATCAGAAAACAGGAGAAATTAAAAAAAAATCCCAAAACCTGGAAAAGTTCGAGAAAATTGGTATATTATTTAGAAGTGGGTGATTAATGGAATTAGCTAATCAATTAATTGTTGAGCATATTAACTGATTGCATTCAATTATTCTCACATGAGACTTGGATTGTTGAAGTAATCAGAAATAGAAATATTAAACTGATTTTGATTAGTCAACCATTTTCATGAGTTGTAACACTAATTTTTATGACAGTAAATGATTGAATCAATTTCAATTAATCAATTATATATTTTACATGACATTAATCAAGTTAATCACCCTGCTGTAACACTATTATTGGTATGTTTTAACATACTCTTGTTCATTCACCCCTATATTATTTTATATAGTGATAATATTGTAATTCATTAAACATGATGATAGATTAGATCAAATATTAGTTCTTATATAAAAAGTAACATTTTATTGTCTACCTTCAAGTTACAATGTCTTGTTGGGAGATATTTTTCTTGTAGTACTGTAGTTCTGAAGTAAGTATGGCTTGAAGTTTTTATTATCCTTGATCACTAGATTAAGCTAAAGTAATGTTAAAAGTTGAAATATCATTATGCCATGCATGCACATGTATAGGTATGTAAAAATTTTAAATTTTGCCTGGAGAATGATAAAAAGCAAGGGAATTTTGTTTTGTGGAAAGATTGTGTTCTTTTGGCCAATAATAATTTCATGTAAACTTTGATAGATGGTGACCTCTGTCATTGACCAAGCTGTGCTGATGATAACTAACATGGCTGCAAACTGTAGATCTTAGCTTTTTATTATATGGTTGTTTCCAAATATAAACCTGTTTGTCTACATATTTCAAATTACAAGTTTTGTTATTACTTAAAATTTCTGCTAATGAATTTGATTGTTTAATCATTGCAGAGAAGCTGTACTACAAAATTTTAAAGGAAAGTTTGGTCATAAATTAAACTTAAAAAAATTACAGTAGTTACATTGAATAATTCAGGGAATACACTTCAAAACTAAAGATGCTTTTAAAACGTAGTCAAATTAAAAATTAGCTTTAGTTCATAAAATAAATTCCAGATTGCATAATTTCTCGATATTTATTTATTTATTTGTTTCTGGAATTCAGTTGATAATTAATGATTTATTATAGTCATAAATCATATTGTCAGTTTGTTTTCATAATAGTTTCATTCATATAAGTTTTGAAATAGGTGTTATTACTTGTATAGATATGTGTAATAAATTCTTTAAAAATTAAATGCATGATTAATGACCTATTATAGTCATAAATCATATTATCAGTTTGTTTTTGTAATAGTTTCATTCATATAAGTTTGGAAATAGGCTGTATTACTTGTGTATATATATATATATATATGTGTGTGTGTGTGTGTGTAATTATGTTTTTAAAATTAAATGCATCATGGTTCCAGTAACAATATACATGGGGTTTATGAATCTATAAACAAAGCTCCTGCCACTTAGGTAATGCAGCTGACTTTCTCCAAAAAAGTTATTTTGTTACAGTGTTTAAAACAGTGTTATTGTTTCAT